CTTTCCTTCCTTCCTGGTTCCTTCCTTTCCTTCCTTTCCTTTCCTTTCCTTTCCTTTCCTTTCCTTTCCTTTCCTTCCTTCCTTCCTTCCTTCCTTCCTTTGCTTCCTTCCTTCCTTTGCTTCCTTGCTCCTTCCTTGCCTGTCCTTTCTGCGCTGCCTTCCTGCTTTCCTTCCTTTCAGTGCCTACAGCCGAGCGGCAGCGAAAGAACCTTGAGGGTTCCAGACGATTCTAGAGAGCTTGCACCCCAAGGTCGCGAGTGTGACTATACCCTTTGCAGCAGTTGCAGGGGCAGCAAGAGCGGCAAGAGCCCAGCAGTCCCAGCGGCAGTTGCCGAAGACACCCAAGGAACTACAGGTGAGAAGATATGTGATGTCAAACCATCAAGAAGATGAGCACGTTTTTAAGGATTTGCAATATTTTACACTATTCTATGTCAATTTCACATGACAAATAGAGCCAGAAAGGAGGAATTGATATGGATTGATAATAGATTCCGGATGGATTCCACTTGTTCAGGTTAAGTCAGTCCCGTTGAACAGATTGCAGAGCATCAGCACGCAGGGATGTGGCCGGGAATCAACTTCTGTAAGACCATTATCCTTCTTCAGACATCTTCGTGCCCTTACCTTTTCTGGTTTTGTATTGATATTTTTCTTGGCCTTTAGCGTGACCTTATAGCACTCAGAGCACTAGGACATGAGATATAGAGAGAGACAGAGAGAGCGAGCGGGAGAGTGTTGCCAGCAGGTGGCCAGCCTCGGACTGCGGACAAGGAGCACTGCGACTCTAGAATGCATTCTCGCTGACACATCTTTATTCCTTTCCTATTTGGGGATGTGCATTTTCGGCTTGTCCACATGCATGGAATAAATCCATTTCGGGCCAACCACTCTGCCATACTCTGCTGCTCCTCCTGCTGGGACGACCGGAAGAAACGGAGCCGCGCCAGGACCCCAAAGAGAAAGTGGTCCGATGTCCTAAGGGCTGCGTGCTGAAAGAGGTAGTTTGCCTTGAAGGAGCTCCTCGGCTGGAAGATGGGAAGTCGGAGTAGGACCGGACTCCAGTGACTGGGACGTTAGACCATGTTAGGCATGCTTGAGGCATGCGTGAGGCATGCCAGGTGGAGGGTGAGATGGGAGTTTTGGGCTTCAGAAAGTCGCTAGTTGGTGAGACTGAGGAGAGGGCTTTGACCAAAAACAGCATGTGCACAACCACTGTAGCCAAGTATAATATACATCAAATCGTCTCCGAATCGTTTCTCATAAATCTGAATTATCCTAGCTAGATCTTTGATTCCCAGTGGCCACGGATGTAATGAGTGGGTAAACCACCCCAATCCATAGTAGAACATCGCAAAGTACTGCTGGATCGTTCCGAACCTTCTCCGAGAAAACAAGTTCAAGAAGGATGTCAAGGCAAGGGGCACATTCTCCAGAACGAGAGGATCCCGAAAGCTGCACCCACATTCAGTAGATCTCTGATCAGGCGTGTCAAGCGGCCCACACTAAGGAGGAGTTTACCTGCGATGGGTGCCCACAGGTACCTTGTCGCAGGCTATTTGCAGTTGTTAGATGCGGTTGGGTGTATAATTGTATGTCATACAGCAATGTCATCATATGTTGATTCAAGTTTGGACATGAAGTAACAACTACTGTAATTGCCTATTTTGTGCAAGCAATTCTAGAGCATGGTGATGTAGCGCAGTTGCATCAAAACTGTCTCGGGCTGCTGCCGCTATGTGAGATCAACTTTCTCTTAGGCCATGGCTGGTGGTGCCACCATCTATGACTGCCGGACCCTGAGTTGCCAAGAACCACCAAAAGCCAAGGACCTCCCATACCCGCCCGTAGGGCAAGGGAGTGTGTAGCAAGGGAAGATGTGTGCAAGACCCAGTATTCAAAAGCTTGATGAGGGTGCTTGTTGACGTGGAGTGTGCAGCGAGTGCGCATGGTTTGTCGCAGAGCTTCCCAGATACATAGTATATGCTTGATGCAAACATGTTCTATCCATTAATTGAGATGGTCCCTTCGAGATCACACCCAAGTCTTTGTCGCACCACGCACGGGCGATGCAGCCGCACCAGGTAGGGACTGCGACTACTGCCTTTGTGTCCAGTGCTTCGATGATGCTGCAGAATCAGAAGAGACGGACGATTTCCCTGATCGGGTGCCATGGCATTGGCCCATGAGTGTGAGAGTTCCATCAGGGTGTGTCGAAACAATGCTTCATTGAAGGCCTTGGGTTTTTCTTGGGTCTTTGCCTTTCACTAGGTCTTGCTACTAGAAGCTGGAATGTGTTGACATTCCGTAGATCTGGAATGCTGAATGTAGATAGATCAATAGATAATAGATATTGTACGGTTGCCGTCTTGTCTATGTAGTTGCCACGTATGTGTAGCAGGGATCCCCAGACGCAGGATGTTTCATAATATGACCACTCTGTAGCTTTGCAAAGAAAAGGACCATAGCAAGGGTGGAATTGGAATGTCAAGCCCCACACGTGTCCAGCCGTGCTTGAGGCTTGGGAAGATGGCCTTGGGCTTTTGCGAGAAAAAATCGGGAACATTGCTAGGAGCAGCCTGGCGCAATTGAGAAAAAGGGAAAGTCTTTTCAGTTGCCGAAGTCATGGGGATTGGGGGATGAAGTCAGAAGGGATGCTGATGTTGAGTCGTTACGTACAGTGACTTTTGTTGTCTTTTGTTGGTTTGGTACGTTGCTGGTTGAATGGTTCGCGCATGGTTGTTCAATGGCTCGGCTCTTGAAATCCGTTCTGGGGTTCCAACATGTTGAAGGCTTTCTGTTCCTGTCTTAAGCTTTCTCAGGTGTCCGGGGCCTTACCACCAGCCAAGTGCGAAACATGTTATTCAGCGACGAGACGAAGCAATCACGAGCCCCAAATGCACATTGCTGAAGGCTCATTCACAGGTCACAGTCCACAATCCACTCCCTGCGGTGAAAGGCTGGTAGCAGTGTCACATGCCCCAAGAAGACACGACATGACCTTGGTTGAGCTACTGGTACTGCAACATTCTCCAGGACATCGGTCGAAGGTTGACCCTGAAAGTCCTGAATCACTGAATAACATCATAAGATATCATAAGTCATAAGAAATATTTTTTTGCAAATTGTATTTCAGCAGGCAAACCCAGGGCACGCCGTTTGGTCAGCATTATCCAGGGAAGCTTGGGAGGTAGTATAGTATGTGTGAGCCATAGGAATTTGGCTTCAGAAGTTGCAAGATTAATGACCACCGCCGCGCATCAGAGGCTTGAAACTCGACGAGCCGCAAAAGCCCTCTCCGGAACTCCTGAGATGCTGGGACATGCCACTGCGGGGCCTCGTGCGTTGTGGGACCACGGGGGCTAGTGACTCTAGTGGGAAAAAAGAAACTCATAAATCATAAAGCATGAGTTCTGCTGCTAAGCAAAGTGCAGTGATCATGCAGTGATCCTGGCTGGCCGTCCTTCCCGAATTGAACAATGTGTAGTTGTTTATGATTCTAATATTTCTATTTGAATGGCTTGGGCCGCACTAGTGGGTGAGCCAGATGCAGATGGAACATTTCTGAGGTTGATTCTCAATAGTAGCCTTCTGGTTGCAAAATGCTAATGTACTGCTAATTTCAACTTTCGTTGCAACTTGCCAGTTCCTCAGGCATGGATCACCGTGGACTTTAAAAGACAACAATCCGACAGTTCTCCATTTCTCATCTGCGTTTCAGCCAGCAGATGCATCCAATCCAAGCTGTTCAGGCCTTCAGACCCTTTCAGCGTTTGGTTCACTCCGGAAGCCGAATCATCGGGATCGGCAAGGGCGGCTTCCGCTGAACGCGGCTAAGCGTTCAATGGGCTCAGGTGAGTGTCGCACACGATGCTCCACCATGATAGGCACGCACCGTTGGGCCGCAGATCGCGGGTCGCACAGGGCCAGGGCGCTCATGAGTGGAGGTGGCTTATGGATGCCCTGTTTGGCGGGTCAATTGCTTGGTCTCCTTGAGGGTTCTGGGTGTGCCCCAGCACCAATCGAATGTCACGTGTTTTTGGACCATTTTGGTGGCCACAGCAGCCCGATCGGTGCTCAGCCCAGTTGCATTGTTAGACTTTTCTCGATTCAGAACTCTGGCAATGTGGCTTTGGCCCAGGGTCAGATGGATTTCACCTGCGTTCACCGCGCGCCCTCGACTCGTTTCAGCATCACCAACTTCCATAACCGTGCATCTTGAGGGGATTGGGCCATCTTTCGCCTGGGCAGCTTCACAGTCAACAAACGATCCAAACAAATCTGCTAAGTTACGTCAATTTGCCTGTCTCTTTCCGAACTGGTCGACGACTCCGCGACTTCCGCGCCTCCGCGCCAGGGTTAGCGCTTTTCGCTGGATCAGTGGACAGCATCGTGCGCACCTGCCTGGGTGATCAAAACCTCAGTGCCGTGGGTTCCCTGCTGCAGCTGCGCCGCTTTGGATTGCTTGGCGAGTTGTTGCGGGGACGGGGACAGAAGTACTTCTGTATATTGCTGTAATGATTTCTGTATATTTCTGTAGTAGACAGCATTTTTTTGGTGAGTGCATAAGTGATTGAAGTGAGAGTGAGATGACCTGTGCCACCTTAAGTAGGCCTAGCTGGATGATCTTCCAAGGAAGGGATAGTCACTGTTTAGGAAGACAAAGAGCTGGAAGTGCACATTCCATGTCCTTCGTTCATAGTACTGTACCCAGATGTACCCAGTATGTTTTTCTGCTTCTAGAAGCCCAGAGATCTTTGTGAAGCACCCTGTGCTTCACCTTGACTTTGTGTGACAGCGGTGCGGTTGAATGGTTGAGAGCCTGAATTGCTCACCATGGGCCACTCAAAACAGCCAGCTTTGCTACGCCGCGATCGCAAAGATGTGCCGCGATCATTGGTGAATCAAAAGGACACTCAGAGCAGATGTGAGGCAAACATGTCATCACCTTTGTGACAGATATTTGGAGAAGAAACACGTAGAGAGACAACGTTGTTGGACACAAATCATAATTTCTTCCCTTGCCATGGGCGCCTGCTTTGGGTCCTCCAAGACGCCCCGCTGGATTTCCGGGAGCCCAGAGGCTGCTCAAAGGTGGCCCCAGTCCTCATCTCAGCAGCTGGAGGAGGCTCAAAAAAGGTTGGCCAAGGCACTGGACATGGGGTTTGAGAACTCAAACGCTCATGATGTTTCTTGGCTCCACCTCATTCTCAAAAGATTTCTTGGAAAAACAGTTGGGACCCAAAAGATCGAATGAAAGCGATGCAGGTGGGCAAGACCGCACCTCGTGAGAAGGGGTCAGATGAGAAGCTGGTGGAGGTCTTTGGCCGCCAGATCGGCTCCTGGGCTGGTGCCACTCGCTGGCAAGACAAAGATCATTGACATGGGCGATTCAGCGGGCTAGATATATCTATATATATATAACTATATATATATACATACTTATTCATTTCAGTTGGGTCAGCCCCGGTGTTGAAACACGTCTGAAAGCTTCTGATGTCGCCCAAAAGTCTGAAAGCACTTGGACATGGGGCTTCGTTGGCACAAGCAGAGACCGTTGTGAATTGCAACACCTCAGGTGAGTCTTTTTGTGTTCCATGTTTCTTTGAGCCAGGCAGAGTGGGGTTCAGGTAGCACTGACATGGATATCGAGCCTGCCTCAGGATGGCAGCCTGCATGTGCATTTTGCTGGCAGTCTAGATGAGGCTCTCCCAAAGAACTCTTCCATTGCAGGTGGGGTTTGCTTTCGCGACCGCTTCTGTGGTCGATAAAGGGGTAAGCCGGTAAGCCGCCTCCTAGAGTGTTCCATGCTCATGGAAGAAAGACTTTTTGACATCTATACAGGGAATGAATTTACATTGACCTGTTAACCCTGTTTTCTGCCGACCCCACGGCAACCTTGCTTTGCCCACCCATGCGCCTTGCGTCGACCACGCAGACCAACGTGCTGACATCCTCACGCAGCTTCTTCGACTTTTACAGCCTCTACCGGGGACAGAGGAGGCGGCGCCTGAGCGGGTGTTCTTTTGCGCCACTGCACTGGGAAAGACCAAGGTTCGATCCAAGCTGAGCACCCTGGATGCGAAGAAAGCTGGAGATCGCGCGAACACTTCTGATGTAGGAGGGACCCTGGCCGCCCTGCCCCCCCACTTTGTCTGGCCGGTTGGTGGTATGAGTCATCCGGCCATTCCAAGGTTAACTATTTATGTTATAATATACTATATATATATATTATATTATAACTAGTAGCTTTTGTCAGATTATGCATTGAAATTGAAGAAGTCCACATCAAAGTCACCACCCCACACCACATGTTTTTTTCAGCGACCCAGGTGGCGACGACGGAAGCTGGAGATGGGACAGCGAGATCAGCTTCGAATACGCGGTGGGTGACGCCATGCCATCCGAGTCGATGGTGCTCATGCGAGTGGGATGGCTTGGACGTGGCATCGTCTACCGTGAGCGAGGCCACGATGAGTGGGGCTTCGACAGGGTTCGCATCGCTTTGAGGACACAGAGCGTCTTGCAGGAGACATATGTCTTTTCAATCAATCTTGAGACAAACTTCTTTGATGCATGAGGAGGTAATCCTCTGGGCACTTCCAGAAAAGCTGGACTAAGTTTCACCTGATGCCTGAAGCTCGAATGTTTTGAAAAGGCTGGTGGAAACAAACTTATGTAAGCTTTGCACAGGAGTTCATTCAACAAGCAAGCGGCGCGATCTTGAGATACTTTCTAGGAAGACTGATATCAGGATTTTGCTGCAAAGTCTTGCCATATTTTAGGCATGCACATTGCCGTGCTTGTGCTCTTGCCCTGAGTTGGAAGAAGGAGTTAAGAAGAAGATGCCAACCACCAACCTGTTTAGTTTTTCTTCAGGCAGCCCCCACCTTGAAGGAGCATCATCTTCCAATCCCTCCTTTTACCTCCTCTTACCTCCTCTCTGGATTCATTTTCTTTGGATTGGTTGGTCTTCTGCAAGGTCCCAAAGATCCAGAGTCTATACCGGTGGCTCAGCACATAGAATATTCGACTTTAATGAGTATGCAGTTAGAATACCCTTATTTTTGAGGTCACGGGGGTGAGAGCCAATGCAGTTAGAATAAATATGGGCCACAATATTCTATGTGCTGAGCAGTTCACGGCTGCAGTTTGGATATGTTTGGATGCTCACGGCTGCAGTCATAATTATTCTATCTGCAGGCGGTAATTCTATCTGCAGCACAGTTAGAATAAATATGAACAAGTGCTCCCCCGGGACCTTTCAGTGAATTATTTGGAATTAAAAACAAATGGACTAATATTCTAAGTGCTAGGCCACTACTATAATAACCTTGCCCTTCCTCAAATCCTCTATGGATTCTCTCTTTGCAAGCGCCAAGGCCCTGTAACGCAACACGGAAGTGTAAGACAAGGCCTTTGGCCTTTGGCAACCATTTCCCACCGGATTATACCGGATTCATGTGGCGCTTCTTGGCCAAGGTCAGGTCTTCAAACGAGACTGGGAGAAGGCGGACCTCGCCAGATCATGTCTGGAAGCGCTGTTGAAGAGCAAGGGACACCTGGAAGCACTGCCGGACACACAGTCCATTGTGCAGGTCATTGGGGTTTGATTCGCCTGTATGCCTGCCGCAGAGGCCAATCTCTTTTCCCTGGCTTGATTAGTTCCACCCTGCCTGATGCTTGCGATTCTCCAGTGCATTGTAGGCCTCCAAACAGTGCCAGCCTAGTTGAAGTCTGCCCAGTTGGTGGCGCAGCATCCGTGGAAACATGTCCCTTGACCATTTGCTCCAAGTTTGTTTGGCATTTGCGGGAGGTATAGAACCAGGAAAGGACCGACAAGCCATCTACCCGAGAATCTGAAAGTAGTGGACCCCTGGTAGACCCTATGAGACAGATTGAGACAATGCAAAAGTGATTGAAAGGCATTCACATTTCTGGGGTTGAGCAAGGGGTGAAGCTTGACCGGTTGAGACCCAACCCAGGAGCGAGGCCGGCCAGCTCCGCCTGTGCGCCCTGCCAGCGTGCAGCGGTCGAAAGGAAGGCGTACAGAAGTCATAAGTGCAGGATGCTAGAGTAGCGCGGAATTCAATCGCATTTTGAGTCTGGCAAACTGGAAAAGGGAGGTGGTGGGAGCCCAATAGATTTGACGATACAATATGATATCATCAAAGGAAAATTAAGCGCCGGCACGTCGCCGGCACTTAGGCATGCAAAGAATAGAAAAGTAGACTACAGCAGACTAGAGTTAGCAGGAATCGCTTTGTCGGCACACATGTCTCAAGTGACCTGTTGTCCATGGGGTGTTTTAGAGCTTTTGGCACACATCAACAAAAGCAGGGCGACCACGACAACAGTGCAATTGGCTGTACAACGACAGCCGTGCTTATGACATTTTATGGCTGATATGCTGATATGATCCTGGCACACTGCAAATCGGAAAGGGCCTTCTTGTACCTGCAGAGGATGTTTTTGCCAATCTGTTTTATCTTAAGGCTGTTTCTGGTCAGAGCGACGTCGGTGGGAGTTTAAAGGGTGAGTTCCATGCACCCTTTCGTATGACCTCAGGGTCCCTAATCATATCATTGTATATCCTCCTCTGACACTTCTGCACTGCACTTCTGCACTTCTGCTAGCGGGGGTAACTATGGGGTGTACTACATCATCACTGCCCCAGTCTTTAGAATGACTGCGGTTAATGCAGGTTGCTTGTAATCAGGGCTAGGTGTATGAGGTATATATTTGGTGCAACCTCTGAATGGAGTGCCCTGTGGTTGGGGTTCACCACTGCTTCTTAGTCGTCTTCTCAGGAAGCCATGATCGACTTCGCCACCTGGATGCTAGAGGTGAAAGTATTGACTCTGAGAGGCATGCTTCGCCTCCCAGAGAAGCTACTCCAAAGCTTCAGGGTTCTGTGATCTGAGCGTTCCAAGAGAGAGATGGCCAGAACCCCAAGAAGAACTCCATTCGAAGACTTCCAGTGGAGGCTTCTACCTTAATTAAGCCAACCTCTATTTAGGTCCAGGTTAACTTCAGTAAGTAGTTCAATCCTTATTTGGCCATAGTGATTGCAAGGCAGTTGCTCATGCCATGTCTAGCCATTTCTCCACGAATATGTTGGCCATTTTGGAGCCCATGGGGATCCATGGGGGCGGGCCCAATCCAAATCCAGCTTGTCCATACTTCAATGTGTACGTTGGTGTCCATCATTTCCACATCGATGACATGTCTTCACACATGTTCGGCCAAGAAAGGTTTCACCCCCAAGTGGCACCGTGGCTCTCTCTCTTCTCTCTCTCTCTCTCTCTCTGAGCACCTCACCTGGGACGCTGCGTGTGCTTCTGCCCTCCCGAGGTGTGCTTCGTGGGTTTGAGTCACTTCGTCGCGGTGGGCGTCACCCGATCCTTCGAGCCCTCCGAGCCGACGGAAGGCGTCCGAGTCCCCGGTGAGAACCACCCGGACCGTCCACTGGACCATACGGTGACCAGACCCTGGACATCCCTGGACCATGGTGATGTATCGTGATGTACTCTGGACCATGGTGATGTTTAAAGTCCATGTGATGCTTACATATGCTTAATTACTTTTTGTTTTGAAGTCATGATTAACGTCGTCGAAGCATGTCAAGCCATTGCAAATGTGCTCATTGAGCTGTCAGGCCCATGCGCCGTGGACGATGAACCAGAGGAGGACTGAGCCGGCAGAAGATTCACCGTGACTCATTGTTGAACAAGTGTGACGAGGCCCTAGGATGTTTCATTTTTGGCTATAGGACGTAGGACGGTATTGTTTCTGTTGAAGACGTTGAAGTCAATGAAAAATGCGCCGCCGACATTTGCTTAGCTGTAACTGACGTGTGCTACCGAACGGCGCATGCCTGGCGGGTTGCCTGTTTCATCAGTTTCGGGTAAGCCACCATCCATGAGATGCCATGAGCCACTGTGGTACGTCGAATTGGCGACCTTCCCCAAACCAGTTCTGATCAAGATTTGTACTTCTAATGACCTTAACCTTGGCATAGAGAGCTTATATAACCATGCCATCACCAGGTTCTTCTTAATGCCCATTTTGGGCGATGCTTTTCCCAAGCAGGAGTCTGAAGAGGCTGCTCGGGCGCGACGGGTGGAGGCGCAACAGCAGAAGAAGATGCTCGGCAGTGCGCAAAAGCCTCCCACAAAAGACGTTGTGAGACAAACAACTACACCCTGAACCTCAAAATGGAGTCCGCGGAAGAGGAACTAGTTTCTCCAACCAGACTTTGTACTCTTGATCTGAGATAGCAAGCCACCTACTGTACTATGTTTGGAAGATGATGGCAGACAACCACGGGCCAACGACTAAACCCAGGCCTTGTTGTTGGTTGAGGTCCACCCGACGCTGGGACTACACTGGTGGTTATCGCCCGGTTGAGCCTGAGAGCAACGAGCAGGCGCGGGTGCTTTTGAGGTACAGTCTGCGTTTGCTCACCACAGGGGAGGGGTGCTGAACACATCATCACAATCACAACATACGCCATGAACCACATGTTCTTCGTTAAACCGACTTGGGTTATATAATATAAGGTGTATTTAAATTGATCCTCTCGACCAGAACATCCTTTGTTAAACAAGCGCCCTGCAAGCCCCGCTACCTCACCAGCCTTTCCGAGCCGGGAGGCCTAAGACGTCCAGTGCAGAAAGAAAAACGGATCAAGGATCAAAGATCAGTACTGTAGCAACAAAAGGTCCTTTCAGAGGTGCCTGGCATTGGATTTCTGCAACCAAAGAAGGCTTGAAACCGAAACTGGTGTGCGTATTCGTTCGCATGTCTCTACAATCCCGACCATTCACCTCCTGGAAACATCTAAATCCAGGACGCACAATGAACGTTGAGGAAACATGACAATACCCAACCACTGGACTTTTCCGCCCCAGTTCTCTCAGCAAGCCTAGCCTAGCTGCGCTGCATTTGTTTGGTTCATTGTCCCGAAATCTGGTTCACCTGGGTGGATTGGCGTCAGAACTCTTGTAAAGATCAGGTCTAAAAGTTTATGTAGCGTTCCATTTAGGGTTTCACAATACAGGAACTCTTGGTTTCATATAGGGTTGATGAGTACATACCTTGCAAAAGAAACGGTTCACTGACCCTCCAGGGTTCACGCACTCCATGAAAAGTCGGTCCCACCCAGAGAAGCTGCTTCCAACCCACAGCTTGCCAACTCTTCCAGAGAAGCTTCCGAATTCCGCCTGGTGTTTGATCCCTTTGTGACAAAGGGCTCCAGCCGAAGGGCTCGCCACACAAGACACATTGATACACATTATATTCATGAGGGAGGTAAACCAACCGACTGGGCTGTAGGAACGTACTGAGCATAATAGGGTGCAGCCGGAATCACTGCACTTCCCATGCGCATGAGTAACCAAGCAAACTGCTCGTGTGAGGACCAGCTATCTTAGCACTGATGCTCGTGTTTTGAGATGTTGTTTCAGTATAGTTTCGGGTTAGCTGTTTCCGCTGTCACGTTGTTGGCCCCGTGGGCACCGTCAGCGCCAAACACCAGCAACAGCAAGTTTTTCTTTTTTTCAACTGCCAACACGGCCAATGAACACAGTAACCTTGGTGTCTATTGTTGGAGGCAGGACCTTGATAGCCCTTTTGACTTGAGGCCACCCTTCGATTGATCAACGCGAGAGGGAACAACTTGAAGCCGAAGGCGGCAGAAGATGAGCGATGCTTGGTTTTATCATGTGTTATCCAAGGCTTGTTCTTGGGGTTTTGAACTTTCTTGCACAAATCAGAGGAGACATCAGGTCATTATCATCGCTTTTGGGAGCACACTTGGCCTTGCAGCACCAAGGCCAAGCAGAACACCAAGGCCCAGAAGATGGCTCCAAGACAAAGACGTGGCTTGGTAGGGATTAGTCTCACAGTGAGAAAATGTGATATCATGATATCAGTGGATTGGTTCTGACAAGTGCCGTGTCTTTAGTAGCTGTTTTTGTCCAGGATTGTTTCTCATCGTGGCTGAAAATTTTAATGTGTCGTTTCAGGCAGGAATGCAAAGCGCAGTGGCTGAAAAGCTTTACGAAGATACCGGCAGCTGCAGAAACTCCAATCATAGGGTGATAGAAGAACGGTACTGAATCATACTGAATCAACAAAAGGAAGAAGCTGCTACTGGTGCTGCTGGTGCTTTTCCTCTTTTAAAGAGGCCCTACGATGGAAACATCAACCATCCTTCTCAGGCTCTACAAGCGGCATTTGTGCCTTTACTTTGAGCGTGGGCATTGCGAGAAGGGCCTTCACTGCACCTTTGCCCATGGACTCGACGAGCTGCGGGACCCACGGGAGGATCGAGCCAGGCCTTCCGCTGCTGAGCCGGAAGGCCAGTTAGTCCGAGCTTGGCGGTGGAACCCGAGGGCCTTAGGACAAGAAAGGGGTTATATATATATTTTTTTAATATACAATATATATCAATATATATATAATATATATATATATGTATATCACTGGGTTATGCTCCACATCCATGAGTTGGTTGATGTTGGTTGCGGACTTTTGTAGGCTGTATGCGTGCAAGAGAGTGAGATGAGATCTGTGGATACATTTGGATGCATTTTGGTGGTGAATTGGTCATTGGAAGCCACTCAAGCCTACACGTGCCAAAGCCTGGGGCGCCCCTGTTCCTTGGGGATGCCACACCACAACCCCGCACGACCCATCCATCCCCCACGACCACATGATCCGATCAGGCAAGCGCACACAAGAGATGCCTCGGCGACTCGGTTTGCTGAAGAGTTCGGTGACTCGGGTCCTGGGCGGATCGTGGAAGTTTCTTTCTTTCTTTTCTTTCTTTTGCTCGGCATTTTGTGCCGTTTTGGATGGAGGTTCGTGATGGCATTATCTTGGCATTTTTGGTTTTATTTAGGTTGGATTGCTGACCTGACATGTTCAACATTTTCTCATGAGGATGGGTTGCTGAGTCGCTTTTTGACTTTGTGTTGTTGGTGGTGTACGTCCACCAAGGACCGCCCATCCGCCCATGTCATTCTGAGGCGCTTCAAGCGGGACTTGTGCGTTTACTGGCAGCAGGGTACCTGCCAGAAGGGCAGCGCCTGTACCTTCGCACACGGCAGTGAAGAGCTGGTGGACCACACCCGGGGTGGAACGGCCGGGTTTTGTGGTGTTTGGCTCGTGCGAAAACGCTCAGTCATCAACACATGAAGACGATGGGTGTGGGAGTGGTGATGAGAGAAACCAGATCATTTTCTGAGAGATACTTTTTGTAACATTTTGTAACAAGTAGATGTTGCTGATGTTGCTATGCTAAAGGGGGCCATGAAAGGGGATGGATCCGAGTTTCGCTTGCTCGTGGCATCCTGAGTTGACCAACAGATTGTTGGAGAACACCAGAGCTTAAGAGTCGTTGTTCCTTGAGGGGCAGCATATGGAGTACAAGAGAAAGCTGCAGATGTGCAATGTCTCGGGGTGGTTTACACTGAATCTAATCCTTTGCAGATCGTCACAGCAACAGTCACAAAAGCATACATGGTGGTCCATGGTGACTGCCGCAGTTGGTCTCATCAAAGACTTGTCGTTGAGACTCGAAGCTCTTGTGTGCACTGTGCCCGTGTATGCCACCTCACAGTGGACGACACTGGCTGCTTGAAACACACCACTTGCAGCAACTTGCCACTCCAGAAATGGCACTGCCAACATTTTTGAAGTGGCGTCACGCAACACAGAGTAAGGGATGGGGCCCTTCACCAGGACTCGCGCTCCAACGGCATTGCTGTGCACCAGGGCCCTTCGTGGGAGACGGGCCCCATGGGCTTTCGGCCCGAGGAGCTGGTTGCTGGTGCGGTGATGGGAATCCAAACAGGAACAGATCCACCACAAAAAACAGGATGTTTTGGGAGGGTTGAGGGATTTGAGGAACATGAAGAGATCCACCACGGAAACGTACTAAAACCATATGGCCTAAGGGGTGGCTAAGGGAGAAGTCATGAAGCTAGTGGAACGTCCACCACCGACGGTCAACTGCCCTCTCACGTTGAGCTTTTACTGTAATTTATTTACAGCTGCTCGCAAGCACAGGTGATAAGGCGGGAAAACCGTAGCTCTCCAGATCCACGGATGATAGCTTTGCCTTAGGACCCCACGGACGGTGTCTCCGCCATAGCATGTCCACGCCGGAGCCGCCTGAGCCTCGCTGGCAGGAACGCCGTGGCGCCAACTCCAAGCCGACCCGAAAAATGATCTGAGGAGCCGAGGGGGTAGAATTCGGCCTACCATGCTTATCCCCCTGGCCAAGCCTGTCAGGGGGGGATCCACTCAAGGTGAGCGTCCCCCACGGCTTCTCATGTAAAAGGGGAACAAAAACAATCGCGACCGAGTCAGCAGATCTCCTTGAGTGGCTAACGATTCTCGTTTGGAGTGGTTTCCTTCGCTTCCCCTCCAATCCACCTTTAGGCTGTTTCATGCGCTGAAGCAGCGTGACCGCACTGGCGCTGAGCAGCAGAATCAGTGCTGTCTGGGGTTGTACAGATTGTGAGTTGGCACAAAAAGATGCAGTCGGACAGGAGGAGGACTATGGCTATGGATCAAGTGATCATGAGTTCTTTTCTCCTCGGACCAGAGGAGGCACCTTGAAGTCTTTTAGGATGAGTGCTCCGATCTTTCAAAGACGAGGCGTTTGGAGATGTTCACAGACATTTGCCACACCTCCTCAAGACTATGGCTTTTCAGTGGAGGTCGAATCGCGTATGTTTAGGTCCGACATCCGTTTCTTCCGTTTCGATCCCTGCGTGCAAGTCGGTACTTGCATGCAGCATGCCACGAGGCAGCTGTGAGGCAACGGTAGGTATATCATTCGTTTGAATCGTCGCATCTTGCGGAAACTCGTCGTTTTGGACATGTTTTAACCTATCGTCGCCTCGCTGAGCTCCAAGTTGATCAACTGAAGGGTGAGAGGTTAGCCGAAGGAACTCTGTCAGATGCAACTGACATTTCCCAAACATATCCTGTGACACGGTGACCATGTGCTTCTGGGAAGGAAGAAGAAACAAGAAGACCACCAATGCCCAACACCTTCAGCACCGGAGAGCATCCTCAAAAACAAACGCTCATTTTCCTACTTGTCCCAGTCATTTTACAAGTAGCTGATTATTTGATTTCATCATCATGTTTCATTTGAACTCTTTGGTCACTAAGTGAGTGTTGCAAGATCAAATGGATCCACCAGACCGCCCAGACCGACTGACCAAGGGCCCCCTCCTCATCCGACCTCATCCGCTGACGGTAGAGGTCTCCGTCGACCTGGACTTGAGCCGCACGCCCAGCGTGGGCCGCCTGCGACCCTCCACGGCCCGGGGCTGAATGGGGCAGGGAAGGAGCTGGTGGAAGGCGGTGGAAGGCGGTGAGTGCGCATAGTATCTCAGTCAACTTGTCATAAGTTGACACGTGTGTTGACAAGTTGATGGAGGTTAGAGTAAGAGTAAGATTTGACATCAAGATCTACCAGGAAAACCCTTTGGCTTTACGCCGTAACTTTACCCGACTTTTACGCCGACACGTTTGGAGGTTACGATATATAGTAAAATCTATAATGGACAAAGTGATAAACCAGCCGAGAGCCCTGGGAATTTGTGGATGGGAAGGATGATAGCTCGTACAGGACTTTGTCCATGAACAATCCATACCGACATAGATTGTGGGAGCTGTGCAGAGCTCACACGCAGAAGTCGCTGTGCAAAGTTGACATCCACTTAGCGAACTCAGCTACTTGTACTTAGTAAGAGTTAGCTAAGCCTACTCAGCCTACTTGAGCCTACCTAGCTGAGCCTCAGCCTACTCAGCCTACTTAGCAAGATGTAACAATGTAGGGCCAGATGTCACCCGTGGGATTCTACCATCTACTCAGCGTTCCACCGCGCACGGCGGGATGGACAGATGTATGATGATGATCATATCATTCCAGGGGACTTGACCAGTATGGTACTACAAGTGCTATATAGTGGTGTGGAAAGGACGGCAATACTAATTGTTTTGAGTGCCATTATGACACGCAGCTCAGCAGACGCGTGCACCAACAGGTAACCAGGGTGTCCACTACTTGAGCTGGTGTTTACAGTGGGATTTGTGACATGGGAGGGCTTTAGGCCGTATTCTTTCACCTGCCCCAAATCTGGAGCATCCAAAATATGACTCCAGGGTCTTCAACAATTGGACTGGTTGTCACATCAAGGTCCTTTGGGATGACTTCGGGGTCCTACCCGGGTTTACCCTGGCCTTACCCTGGATCACACCCGTGAACTCGCTGCCCTGCCTGCAGGACGATGCCCATTCCGTGGACCATGTTTTAGCGCGGCAGGTGCGGCCGTAGCTGAACCGCCAGGTTTGAGGGACGCTGCCGGAGTTCTTCAGCGTGAAACGGTGATGTATGGATCAGAACCTCATGACGTTCTCGGGTTTTGTGGTGAATTGAATTCCACGGATTCCACGGGGTTTTAGTTTTGCCATGTGTTTCTTTTTCTCCAATGTTTCTGGAGGGCTTGTCAGGAACGTTAGTAGACATGGTGCCTCTATAAAAACGATATGTACTTTCCAATGTATCAGTTCTTACTGCCAGGCTGCCCGCAGGCATCTTAGCCTAAGAGTGCCCAACTACCTCGCCATGGCAGAGCCAGCTGATGAGGTGGTTGAAGAGAATGAGTCGTCACCACTGTCCCCCGTTGTCAGCTCCCGAAAAGCACCAGTGCATTGGCTTCGATGGGCCTCGGTGGGCGTCTTCATCTTTGCTATTCTAGCTTTGGCTGGTGCTGCTTGGGCTTATGCTTCAGGTAGCTCAATCATGGCACCTTTCGAGAGACAGCTCACCTCAAAGGTGAACTGTGGCAAGGTGACATGCGGGCGCTTTGCACAGCACAAGACCTATGGGACCTGCGACGGGCCTGCAAGTTCAGATGATTGCCAGGAGTCAGACGGATATAATGGGATGTCTTCCAGACCCCGCCATGCCACCATGACAGTAAGTTCAGGTCCTTCAGGTACTGGACTGACTTGGGTAACCCTTGGTATGCTTGTGCACTGTATAGCCGAAAATAGCCAATCATCCTTCCAGGACTCCTGCTGCGAAGCCATCCGCTGTGACCACATCAAGGACTGGAGCTGTTCCAATGAGGTTGGAAGCGGTTTCTTCAAGCGCCAAGTGCCTGAGATCTTGAAGGGCCTGCACCGGCACAGCTTGCAGTGCAAAGGCGCCTTAGTTGTGATTTGGTGTGTCTTCTGGACCCATGTTCTGAAGCTGTAAATTATCATAAATAAATGTAAATGTTTGTATAAACATTTGTATGATGCATCTAGCCGTTGTTTTGGACCCGCCAGGTGGTTCCAAGCTTCCTGAAGGTATGCTATACTGATGGGCCAACCAAGCAAAGTCATTGGTCATTCCCCTAACCCACTGACCAGCGGATTAGTCGGCTCACACTCGAATCGCCCAATGGACTGACGGATCTGAGGAGAGGAACAGTGCAAGGATCGCTGTTGCCAGAGCACGTGCAAAGCAACCACCTGCGAGGAGCCGTACCTGTGTAAGAAGCCCTATGCACCTTGGGTTCCTGATCTCGGAGGTGCTTTCCTGTTTCTTCTTGTGTTTTGATGTGGGTGGCTGGGTGGGAGGTTGCAAAATGACCGTGATCCGAGGGCAGATAGCGCCCAAACACACATGACAAATAGATGATGAGATCCCGATGTTGAAGTGACGGTGCCGTTGGTAAATCCATAGACGTCCACTTCTACAGGACCACAGGAAGCTGAAACCGAGTCTCAGTCGTCTAAGGCACCCAAGAAGTGCACTGCTTCCGAGTGCCAGTGCTTTGGACGAAGAGGGCCGAATGCCGAGATCTGACATGGCAGATCTCTTGGGGGTTTGAGGTGTAGGAGATTGCGGTAAAATGGCTTATGAGTCAACTTATGAGTCTATGAGGCTTTGGCTGGGTTTATGGACAGAAACTGTATACTGAAGATCTTTGGACTGTTTCGTTGTTGAAATCACCATGTTGTAGGCTTCACTGGCTTGAAGCCCAGTGGTATATTATTACTATAATATATATATATACATACATAGAACGTATAGAACATCATAGAACCATTCCCTTTGCTGCCAGAGCGAGGTCACAATGCTGCTATGACAAGAGCTATTGTGGCAATGGCATAAATGCATGGTCTTACGCTTGCAAACGCTGCAAGAGCAAGCTTGAGTAACTTGACAGCAGCTGGCTTCTCTTGTGCCAGGCATGCTAACTCTCCTTCATATCAGAAAAAGAACAGGCTGGGTTGCACTTTACCAATCCAGCTACGCCATGCGTTGCAAACTGATGGCTGTGCAGAGAAAAGATGCCCAAGTTGATTCAGTTGCTTCATTTGAGTACTTGGAGGGATGGTCAACTTTTCACCATTTTTTACCTCTCATCCCATCTTGTCACCTTGTCACGTCGCCTCATCTCACCTGGCCGCCCTCTTCTGCCAAGGTATTGTGAGCAGCAGGTGGGGGATCGCTCCAGCTTCGGCCGGGACCAGTGGAACGACCGGGTCTTGAAGCTGGTGAAGGCAGGCAAGCTCGCGCCTGGATGTGAAGAGGACGCGGTGACCCCGGATTGCAGGAGCGAGAGCACATCAGTGGACGGGGTCGATGCTGGGAGAAGCGTGACCTGGCGGTTTTGTTGTTTTGTTCCCTCTTCATTGGGGACACAGTGTTTATTTGGATGACAACCAACGGTTGTTGGGATGGTTTTGGTGCAAAGGTGTTTCTTTTCTATTGCTTTTGTGTGGTGGACTTGTCATTTCAACAGTGCTGGCGGCCCCGCTCAGCATGGAAACCATGTGTTGGGCCAATGTTGTGTCTTGACCATCGTGTGTTGATTGTGCCTTTCGACTCGGGACGCACCAATTTTCAGTTGGGAAGCGATGCCCGGTTTCCCTCCTTGCCCTTGTAATGCAGACGGGCAGGAGGAGGATCGGTCCAGGCTTGCAACCAGGATGCGAAGAATTAGGGTTGACTTCTTCATTGATTCAGGCTTCGCGCGTGAGCAGAAGCCTGTTTCCATACTCTTGCAGGAACAACTTGAAGTATGGAGTCCTCTCCAAGTTCCTGCTTCACAAATCCGACGAAGGGTTCCTCAGCTGAAGTTGGAGCCGTTGAGCCGAACTTCTCAATGCATCTTCTGGCACGCGCATGGAGTGCAGGAATGGTTTGGTTTAGATAATGACTATAGATGATGCTCGATGTCCTTCCTACTCACCAGACCAATTCCGTGTAAGTAGGGCTCTTCTACCCTAAAGAACCGCTCAAACCTGGTGCGCAGGGCCCCACCAAGCCGCCCAACCCTCGCCGCGCTGCCAGGGTCTCGGTGAATACCGTGGCCGTGGTCCCCGGTGGCACGGAGGCGCTGAGCGGAGGCGATGACGAGCAGGTGCTGGTCGTGTGGTGGGCGGAGGGTGCTAAGAGCCGGAAAGGGCCTTCTCACACAAGGGGAGAATGCAGCAGTGGCAGTCCCCCAGAATATCCCAGATGATCCCAGATAGGTCAATGGTCCGAAGACAAAACTTCATGGAATGAACCAGCATGTCACAAGCATGTCACACACAAACATCGCTCCCACTGAATCAACTCTGCACACGCGACAAGCTGCCAGTGGTTACTTGAAACATGTTTAACCACCTGGTCTTGCGTTCTTCGCTCAGAGAGGGAGAGAGAGAGCTGGAGAGTCTTTCAGTTGTGGCAAGGAAGTGTGGCAACCCACCGGCACCCGGTTCGCCCGGTTGAGGTCTTCAAGTGGCGCATTGCGGATGGACACTTCTTGCGGAACTACTCCTCCCATACCGCACCCATCAGACAGGCCGGAAGCACCAAAGCCGCCCATGTTGGTGGTTTGCCACCTGAAAGGGACAAATGTGGTGTGTGAACATTGATTGTGGACGATTACAGCTTCCTTGGCTCAAAGATGCTCAAGGTCTTTCACTCTGACCGTTGCAATGTCCGAGCAGGAAACTATGTACGTATATATCCATGCCTGCTTACCATGATGCAGATTCCCTTTACCGCGAAGCATCATGTTCAGGCTTCGTTCACCCTCACTTAAATATAGAAAAACACAGACCAGGACCGACCGCTCGTGCTCTCCAATGGACCGACCGCGGCAGGTCTTCCCGTTGAAGGATGCCACGTTCTTGTGCGCCGCCACCAATGAGGAGGCCATCGTTTGGTTGGTTCAAGCAGGACACGGTGGTGTCGGTGGTGTCTGTGGGCACCGAGTGGGACGGGATGATTTGTTCGACCCGCTGGAAAAGAGATCTGCGATGTTCTTAAAATCTTTAGAATTCATCAACTCGCAGGTGCCTGGATGTTTATTACAGATTTTTTTGATATCCATGGATATCCCCTTGGCAATGTCCTCTATAAATAAAATCACGGGGGTTGGGCATTGATAAAGACATGTTTTTAAGACCGACTGTTTTGCTGGTTTGAGTATGAAAATTGGCAATTGGACAAATGTTGTTATTTATATAGTGATTCTATAGTGGTTTGTGATTCAAGAGTGACATGATGTTTGCATTTTACAAAAGATAGGAGCCCTGCTTCAAACTTATAATGCATTTTGTTTGGCATTTTCAAGGTTGTGAGTTGCAGACTCTCACCATTGAACATGTGCACTCCGTAAAGTCATCACAGCCTGCCAGACTGCACATCTAGATCTAGATAATATCTACAAAACAAAAGTTGAAGGTTGGGCACTTGGTTTGGTAGAGAGGACGGTTGCCAGCTTAATAAGGATGGGTCCTGGGTAGGGCAATTCTATAGCAACATATTCGATTTTGCCTTTGCTTAACTAGGTGTTCGACAGCACGTGGGGGCCTATTTTCATTGCGATTGCATAGGGGGCCACGCTAAATCTCCCTCAAGCGAAGACCTATGCACAAGCAACATTGAGGTACAAAGCCATTATCTAACCAGGAAGCTTGGTGGCTCGTCACCTGACCCTAACCCTTGCATGACTCAGCACTCATGTTGCTTGCAGCTTCAGCTAAAGTGGCAGTGGCATTAGATTGGTTGCTGCAAGCTGTGTGAAACCCCAGCCACCCCACCCCTTGTTTACTGGCCCAAGTTGCCAGAGTGGGCTGAAGGCTTCAGTCCACCCATGCCTGCATGGCTGGGTGGCTGGCTGCGGTGCAGCCCTGGCCTTTGGGTTTGTTGAGTGCTGGGTTCTGGAAGGGATGTAGAAAAGCAAGCTCAACACCAGACATCCCTCATTGACCTTGGTTGGGGCCCTCTCCTCGAAAGGGTCCAGTTGAGACACTGCCTCCATCCGCCGAGCCATTGGTCCTCTCAGAATGTCAACTGGGACACCCTGTGGGACACCGTGCTCAACTGGGTCAACTAGGACCACAGATTTACCGGCCCCCTGTGCCGACGCACTCCCAATTTTTTAATCAATTGTTGCTGGCCTGCGCTATTCCATTTTGGCCAGTTACTAGGCCTATGATTTAGTAGAGACATTTTTGGCTATTTATGTCAGCTGCTTCAATTTTATAGAGTCAGTAAATATATATATATATAGAGAGAGAGAGATTTGGTGGAGTGGTGGAAGAAAAGCCCCCAGAGCCACAGGATTGGGGTGGCAGCAGCACAGCAAAACCAATGATACAGGCCAAGTGACCCGTAGATGTTACCAGAGCCCAATTATGGACCAGACATTTGCATCAAACGGAAACTGCTGGTGCTGAACTGAGCTCCATGGGCTGCAAGACTTGCTCTCCAAAGTTCCCAGACACATATACGCGTGCAACATATGTATGTTATATACACACCTGCGTCTTCCTTAAGCATGTACATTTACAGTTGTTTCCAAAATGTTTTTTTTTTTCTGAAACGGCAACCGTTTATTTTGTTGTTGTTGTTGTTGTTGTTGTTGTTGTTGTTGTTGTTGTTGTTGTTGTTGTTGTTGTTTCTATTGTGTGTTTGACCTTTTCCTGCTATGGTGACAGGGCACATGTTCGAGCGAAATATGACTCTCCCTAAACGGCACAAAACAGTGTTCAAACAGCGTCACATGGCGCTCAAACGGCACAACAGGTTTGGCAACAGTTCTGAGTGCTTGTGTTGAAGACCATTGAGGTTTGAAACATTATTTTTTCTTGAAGAGGCACTTCTTCCACGAAACTAGAAAACTGCAGCTTCTCCAAACGGCAGGTTTACAAACCGGTGCATCCAGGTATACAACCCCCCCCTCAAAATAAAATGACAAAAACACCTGCTGTGCAGGACATGATTACAAGGATGCGATTGAAATGGAATTCACTCCGGAAGACCCCCGCGAGGGAGCAGGACCTGTTGGAGTCACTGGCTGCATCGGCTTGAATTCTTATGAGACCTTGCTGGTGGGCTTGACTAACAGCTTTGCCGTGCTCTGGGAGTTCAAGGTTGACCATTTCATGCCTGTACCCACCGACCCCAAGTTGGAGCTTTGGGCATCATGAGGGCTGTTTTTCTTGGTTTCCTTGCTTGATTTTTTTGGTTTTGAAGGGTTTCACAATGGAATCCAGGAGTGGAAGATCCTCTCAGCAGGATATATATGTCAGTCTTCTTTTACTGTGGAAATGGTTGTATGATGCTGTATGTAGCAAGAGGTTGTTTGCTGCATGTCGCGCAAGATCGCACAAGCAGCTGGTGCATGCCGCATGCCGCATGTCCAACAAACTGAGGAGTACATGTGGCAGATCGACAAGGATTTCGGCTACTACAAGAAGTGGCCCTGGTGGGATAAACAGGATGTCGTGAAAACCGCGGTCAAGGAGTGGGAAAAGAACCGCTTCCACTTGCATGACGGCTATGCTCGCAGACTGCGGGGCAATGACCTGGGCAATGGCAATGCATCCAGAGAGCTTTTCGACATGGACAAGGGGACCATACCTTGGCTATACCACAAGCTCCACCGTGACTCCGCCTAGAAAACAAGCATGTTTCGCAATAATTAGCTCGAGGTCTTGGACATTCTTCTGCTCAATCACCTTAGTCTCTCAAATATGTCACACAAATCAGTTTGTCCTTCGGCCTGAAGCCTTGGGTCTAAATTCTAAATCATTCCGAGGTTCTTCCCCACTCTCCCCCTGGGACAACACCTTCACGAACTTGCGTTGGGGCGATGTCCCGGACACTTATTACGAGCCAGACGGCTGGGGTGCTGTCACTGTCATGGTGGAGATTCCCTCAGATACCTTGCACCTTGGCTTTCGTGGATTTCTGGAGAAAGAATCAGATGGGTTGAGGACGCTGGCCAGATGTCGAACACAAAGATGGACAGCTGTGGGCCTCAAATGGGATTTGTTTGATCAGCCTCCATGCCTAATCCACAGTGTTCTCGATGCTTCGTCCAAAATTTCTGCCCCCCTCCCCCACATCATTGCAATACCCATCCACGACAACCAGCAAACGCCATGTCATGTGCTATCTTTGCATCGATGCCGTCGCACTGTTTGTGCGCCACCTGCGCGCGAACCTGCCGTGTGAGGTTCGTGATTGGCTACGAGGACGGCAGCATCCGAACCTGGCACAGCTATAATGGCTTCATCGTGGCCGTGATCCCCAAGGCCCACGCCGGCGCGGTGAACGCCATGGTGGCGGCGCCGGCCGGAGGGAACTTCTACTCCGCTGGGGCGGATGGCTTCATCCGCGTTTGGGAGGCGCGGGGTGTCTAGATGGTGATGGATGTAGAAAGGTTTTTGCCCTAAAGGGGAGATCTGAGGCCATCGCTGGATTCACGCGTGACAAAGTGACGGGGTACGTTGCATCCAAATGCATTTGAGATGGGGCTCGACCTTCGACTTTTGTGCGTCAGAACGAATAGCAGCTGGTATGTCAAGATTGATTTGAAGGCCATCCCCTTATGCTTCAAGAACATTCATGCAAAGTAAATTAAAGTAAAAATAGTAGACCAGATAGCCAAATTTGGGGACTTTGTTCTTAGAATAGTTAGCATGGCTAGATCCGCACCATGTCGATCCACCATATAGAACCGGATCTGCCCCCTGTGCCATGCCTCTTTCCACTGGCCCACCTTGTCGGCCTCAGTCCTCGAGTGGGAAGTTCGTGCGGGAAATCTATGCCGCCTGGGCCGGGCCCATCGGCAGCCTCGCGATGATCCCTGGGGGCAACGCGATCTACTCGGGCCACTTCTCAGGGACAGCCTCACCATCTCGCGGGTTAGTTTGGGGATGGCAATATGGTATACATCCAAGAAACATTTAGAAAACCACAGGTTTGGCTCTTTTTGCCCATTTTGTGGTGGGTTTGGCAAGGGCTTGGGATGGTTTTGCTGTCTCCTAATGGAGTTGTATCAGGCTTTAGCCGGATCTGGTTGGCGCCCATTTTGCGCTTAGATACTGCACTTGATGGAGTTCAGAAGGCTGTGATTTTGCGGAAGAAATGGCAACGTAGGTCTAATCTGTTGCTTGCACACCACTGCTCATTCCTGAAAGAGCAAGCTGCTTGTGTGTTTGATTCCTTGCTTATTTGCTTACTTTGTCTTTTTGTTTGACCGAATGTGCTAGAGAAAGCCATGACATCTGAAATTTCTTTCACATCGAATGCGCACGGAAGCTTTAAGCTTTTCAGCCATGATGTGCAGTTGGTTGCAGTTGGTCCAGTTTTGTCCTGTTGGACTATGAGACCATCCGATCCATCCACTGGATAACTCACCCACTTCCAGGACAATCTACCTTTGGGCGGTCGATGGGACGGCCCTGTGCCATTTGGAAGCTTCCCTGCACATTGAAGTTTTTTGCCTTGTGATACTATACCGACTCGGAATGCATATGTTTTCCTTAGACACACGGATGTATTCGATAACTTTTTCTCAGCTCCAGTCCAGAATGCACCTACCGACTCAAGTAAGAACAAAAGCCAAAGGCGCCTTTGGCATGCCTTTGGCCCTTGCCAATGTGGCATCCCGACCTCCACCATGCTTAATCATTCCAAGCATCACCTTCTCCCCAAGGACACCGAGGGCGGGAAGGTCAATAGCTTGGCAGTGAACGACGGGAGCATCGGTCAAGTGTTGACTGCTCTGGAGAACGGAGAGGTGAGGGTTTATGCCCAAGGAGGTCTTGGCCCAGGGTGAGCGACCGAAAACAACACCCCAACCGAGGGTGTGGCGGTCCGGGAGGTGTAGACGTTGCCTCGGAAGAATTCTCAAGTCCAAGGAGCGACCCGTTTAGTGCGTGAAAACAGGGGGAGTGGCCTTACTTCCTTCCGTGCCCCTGAGAATTCTAAGGCTTTCTGCCCTCCATTTTGAGAACTCACTCGGGCGCACCGGGTGACCGGTGGAGGATCATCCAGAACTCCTGGAGGTTCTGACGCAATACCTTGGATGTGAAAATGCCATATACGATAGTGGATCAAGAGTGCGTAAGGGTATGCGTGATGAACATGTACATAGGCGGATTGCTCCTGTTGGTTCAAGACTGCTGTATTATATAATATTAGCTATATATCATGGGACATGCTCTACTTCTCACTTCTCAACCAGGATGATCCTCCAAACAAAGCAGCCCCACCTTTTTTTCCACCTGTGAAGTGCAGGGTGTGGGGGAACCGCTGGCGAGTGCAGCTGAACGGCGACACTTGCAGTACGTATATCCTAGTGATCCTAGTGTAGCATTGAGATGACAGCAACGGTGCTACAGGGGGGTTGATCTGAACTTCTTGGCCAAATCCTCCATTCTTGGAGTCATGTTTCAGGCTTGTTCACATGATTTCTTCAGCTTATTCTGTTTGGATCGACCTCCAAAGCTGCTTCCAGAATTCCTCAAGGGAACCTCGGACCAGAAAAGTGCCAGCGAAGCGGAATGCCTATGCGAAGCCTTCACGAGTAAGCAGGCCTGGCGTCCTCCCGGTTATCGAAGGATCCACGTGATCGAAGGATTGATGCCACTCATGCCGGACTTGGTGAACTTTTTGAAGCGAATTGGGGACCATTGGAGCCCTGAAGTCTTCCATGTCAAGTAGAAGTAGAAGGTTCCAATGGAGGCTTTGGGTATGTTTCTTGTTAAGATTGTTGCTCCTAAAACTGCTGAGTCCAGCGTGAGTCAATCCTCCCAAAGGGTTGCTTTGCGATTGGACATCAGCCCAAGAATTATGGCAAGGTTTCTGTCAAATACAGCCCACTCTTGCACCTGCCAAATACAGCCCAGAAGTCATTCTGGCCTGCATCAAGTCGGCTCAAGCTGCCAGGTGGGGTGCTGGTAGTGTGAGCCCGTACTGTAGGTACAGGTTTTAGAAGACAAACAATCACCGCACGCCAACCATTGTCGATAGCCGACGGCAGAGAACTTGATCCCATAAGTTTCAGAGACATTCATCGGGCTCTTGATGTACCGAGTTGATGCCAAAATCCTTTTATCATATTTATCACCTTGTCCCTAGACTCTGTGCATGGCGGGGTAGGGTATTCCTCCTGCCAACCGCATCATGGGCCAAATGGGGTGGAGCGGGTGGATTCAACTCTTCCTATTGGCTGGGCTCGGGCGCGCTGGGCTCGGAAAACATCGCGCCAATGCTTCCCACTATCCTTACGAGGACACGCGGCGAGTTTCGCGGCGAGGAAACGTGCGGAGTCTGAGTCCGCGGAGGGGCGTTTTTGGATGTTTTTGGATTCACAGGGTCTGGTGCTGGATCAGGGCAAAGCAGTAAACGCACGCTTGGATGTGACGGGGTGTGACGGTTCAACACCTCGTAGGATTTGATCTCTGAAACTGTGGCTTACTGCTATACAGCATTGGTGCGCGATTCGGGATGTTGCTTGGATCAGAAGTATGGCAAAGGTGTCCGGAAAAAGACAGTTCGGCGACCTGGTGTTGGCTGGCTTTGTGACAAAGCTTGCTACGACGATACGATGCTTTGACAGGGATTTCAGCCGCTTGTTGTACGTTGCATTCACCACAAGTTTCGTTCCTTTTAAACGGGAGGCGAGTTTACTGTTAACTGTTAGACTAGGTCCTAGGTGGGTGCTTTTACTGTCGGTTCTTTGTTCCAATTCTTTTTGTCTAAGGAAAGGTTATCGTGGCGACGCTTGGCGTAGAGTCAGATTGAGCCCAAGCGTCAGATGCAGCTCCAATGCTTCCTTCCTTCCTTCCTTCCTTAAGTCCCTTCTCGATCCTTTTGGGCCCTCCTTTCACTGACTCCTCTATTTGCCCGAACAGACTCGACGCCGCGGCCCTGCTGAGCTCTTTCACTGCACCAAGCCCCGGCCCAGCCCCTGCCCCCCCCGCACCGCGGAACGAGGGCGGGGCCGTCGGATGGGTCGCACGGGAACGGCGCGGTCGATGGCGTTCGTTCGTTCGAAGGGGAACGCCGAGGATGATTTGCTGTGGATCCCCGAGGGCGCCAGCTGCGAGTCTCCACGGCTCCTGTGGATCCACGGCGGGAGCTGCTCGGCGGCGGCGCGAAGGAAGGAAGGAAGGAAGGAAGGAAGGCCAACGGGTGACAGCGGTGAAGGCGGGAAAGATCTAGCATGATCTGGCTTTTTGTTGGTTGTTGGAGGTTTTCTTTCTAGTGGGAGGGGTGGGACAGGCAAGATCAGAGGCAAGCAGGCAAGCCAGTTCAAATCGTGCTAACTCCCAACTCAGGTTGGGAGTATGGTTCGCCTGACACCTTGTCCTATGGCCAGCTGGCTTCGAAGATAGCAGAGCTCTCCGGGGCGATTGTCATGGTGCCTGACTTCCCCTTGACTCCCGTGGGCGACTACCATGCGACCCGACACCTGTCCGGACCGGATGGGACCTCATCGCAAGGACTAGCGGCTAGCGAGTCGATGTTGCGGGGAGGTGATGCTTTGCAACATGTTGCAAGCCAAAAGTAGTCATTGGTGAGATGGTCGCACACAACCAACCGGGAGGAAAGGGATAGGAACACCATGGGAGATCAAAATAAAGTTTCCCACGTCCTAGGTACAGATGATGTTTGCTTCTTGAAGGGCTTCACTCTCCAGTTTGCGGATGTTCAGAGGGTCCATGTCTTCATGTTTTCATGAGGTGATTATGCAAGCCCTCCTGGACGCCTTGCGCTGGTTGGCCGAGACACCCTTGAACCCTGAGCTTCATTGCCCCAGCGGCTCCGCCCCACTGCTGGTCGGTGGCGACTCGGCGGGCGGCGGCACGGCTCTCTCATTGATTATGGTGCTGAAGCATGGGGCTGGATGGATTCCTGAAGGAGCCACATAGACTATATAGAGATAGAGACGACTGGTCCATATCTTTGTCAAGTTAAGGATGGTTTCAGCATGAGTTTTGAAGACGAGGAAGCTTGCAGAATGGATGCCTCAAAGATAAATTAGCCAAAAGGCTGGAAGATGGAACTTTTCCAGCACGTGTCCGACGCACCAGATGTTCAATAGTATTGCGTAAGTGAGGTTGTAGCACACGTCCAGGTTGCAGGTTCATTCTGAACCTAGAACAATCCCCCGCAAGGAGTTGCTATCACTGAGCCGGAGACGCTGCTTCAGCAAGCGCAGATCCTGGCTGGCGGCGTTTTCTTTAGCCCGTGGACAAACCTGAAATGTGACACGCCGGACTACTATTACAACGCTTTCGCCAAAATTGTCGACAAGAAGGCCAGTAGTGCTGAAAGAGTGAGGGAACATGGCCATGGTGGGTGGTAATCTTTCATGTGTCATTCTTACTGTGACAACGGGCAGGCTGGTGAGTCGCTCGGTTCAGCACGGCCGAGGCCTTCAAAGATCCCAGCTCGGGCATTGCCTATGTGGGGGATTTGATGTTCCGCGGGCAACCTGGCAGAGCCTGGCAGGGCCTGGACCACTGGAAGTAAGTCTTACTTCTCTTTTCGTGGAGATGGAGCGATATTGGAAGCAAAGAGCTGCTGTAGACCATAGACTCTAGACGCAATGGATGTAAACTGTTGAACCCTGACATTGCAAAAGTCTTTGTATTGTCTGTACCTTTAGTCTTTAACTTTTATCTTATCTCCATGATTCCCTCCTGACTGCTGGACCTCTCCCATTTGGGTCTCCAAGGCATCCCGAGGAAAACCTGGACGAGTTCACGGCCAATGCCAAGAGCTACTCGATGAGCTTCAGCACGAGAGACTGGCCGTCCCGGTTGGATGAGGAGCGGAGGCTGTGTGGCCAAGGCCAAGAATCTGGATGATGCGGGTACTAGTGTTTGCGTGTGTTGAATTACAGCGGTGTCAAGTGGATTAAGGGGCCGACAGATTTGATGTTCCAAACTTCGTTCATTGAAAAAGGCTGGGAAGTTGTGGATGTTGACGCAATCAATTCGTACTATTCCCAGACGAATGGCCAGACCTGCCGTACTACCAGATCTCAAGAAGATCAGTCGCAGACCTGTGCTATGTGATATTGAGCTTTCGTCTTGTTTGGCCCTTCTGAAGCGGATTGCATACTTGCAACAAGAGGTTACCCTTGGAACGGCCGAGGTTACATCGGGAGCAATGTGGACCTTTTGACCGACCCCATCGCTTCTCCTTTCTGGAGCACGGAGCAGGAATTAGGAGGCTAGGCTTCGTCATGGTTGCCGTGTGCCTTCCAAAGGAACGAACGGAAGAAAAACACCACTGCTGCATGCTTCATGCCTCCAGACGAATTTGGAAGGCCTGAGAGCCTTAGATGGTGGACCCATGTAGACCCTCAAATCCCCAGTTTAAACCTCAGATCCTTAGGGCCTCCCTCGATTCGGCTGACCATCTGCACGAGGCGGGGGCATCCCACCGCTCCTCTTCGCCGTGGGGGGATCCGAGTCGATCCTGGGAGATAGCATGATCGTGGCGCAGAAAGCAGCCTTCTATGGCGCGAGCACCGTGGATCGAACTCCGATGGTGGACGTTCGGACGTTCGGCACCATGTGAACCGGTGAAACACGGGGTGTGGTGTTTCAAGGGCACTTATTTCATGGTCTTTAGATGTCTTTAGTTAAAGATGCTGCCTTTCTCAAAAGAGTAGATTTGTGTCTCCGACTCCCTCCCCTCATCCAGGAACACTCTTGCCTTTCTTGAAGACTCTGCGGGGTGGCCAACAGATCCAATATGCAGGATTACTCATCAACTTGCTTGATGTTTCAATATGTTTCAACGATTTGGGTGTGTTCCAATGGAATTCCAATAATTAGGTATTGGACAATCTTGGATATTTCAATTTCGGAATAGTTTGGATTAAATGTCCGGAAACTTCATGCTCATCCAAGGTGTCCATGTGGATGTGCATGTGGGGATGTGGCACGACTTCCCCATGTATTCCGAAGGCTGTGGCAGTGGCTATGCACTTTGGCAAGCCGCTTTAGCCTTGAACCGCAGCTTGGAACCCAAAAGAGGATCGTAGGAATTTGGACCACAGGAGGTTTTTTTTGATAGATTGAAGCATCCAACACCAGGACCCCAATTTCTTGAAGGCAGCAGGGAGATTGAATGAGATACTGCTTCATATTCGATATGATCCTCTCATTTCACTCATTGCATGCTCTTTCCTGCCTTCCAGCTCCAAGTACGTATCGATGGCTCCGACGGCCGTGCCTAGGCACGGCCACCTTCATCCAGAAGGTCGCCTCCCGGAAGCTCACGGCCACTCGCCTGGGCTTGGTGTGGCCTCCCTCCAGCTCCACGCCCGGCACACCCAAGACCAGGCGCAGTCCGCGGAGCGCGTTCGTCGCGCGCACATCGCTTGAACCCACCTCCCTTCGGAGTTAGTGGGACACAAGAAGTGAGAACAAAATAGATCAAAGTATGTTCATGTCGACTTGGATGTGTTTGGCCTTTGCTGGGGACGTATGCCAATGCAGGACTCTCAATGCTTGACTCATCAACTCGCATCGATACTTACATTCCTGGTCGTACCACGTCACGAGGTACATCTACGACGTCACGCGGCCTGGGGCCGAAAAGCACCTTGGCAAGACAGATCGTGCCAGCTGGTCTGAAGTTGCCATTGCATGGGGAACGACATGGGAAACAACTGAGATTCAAACTTGATTTGTAGAATGCCTAAGAACGCCTAAAGTTATATAAAGGGTTTGGAGGTGTTTGGAGGCGTTTTCAGATGTTTGGTCATTTTTGCTCAATATCACCCGGCTGTTGTTGGGGTAGTTCAAAGATGTTGAACGGTCACTCATAGTTATCCTCATTTATTCTCTAAAATGATCCCCCTTGCACAGGTCCTTATGAAATGGGGATCCTGGTGACCTATAAAATGACTTTTCCAGGACTCACTTCATAAAAAGCACAATGTTTCCGGAAATCGGAATTTTGAAAAAAAGGCCTATGCATCTTGTCTCGTCATTTCATAAGAAAAGGTCGGTTTGGCTCCTGTGTACATTTTATAAACAGTGATTTTTCTTTAACATAGAGACAGCTGGATGTTGGTTGCTCATTCTATAAACAAGTAATTGTGTGAGAGAATAGAACCATTTTATGATTAAAGGTTTATAAAATGGGTTTTGACATGTTTGCCAATGGATTTAATAGTCCTTGGCAGGGTAAAGCTATTTTATAAACCATTCCCTCTGCCAAAGAGCTGGAGGGTGTGGACAAATACGATGGGCCTTGGCAGGGAAAATTATCTGTAAAATGGTTTGCCATCTATTTAAGGGAGGGTGTGGACAAATACGATGGGCAGGGTGAGGTTTATAAAAATGAGGCGATCCAACCTCCGCGTTTTGGGTCACTTTTTTTGCGCTTTGGTTGGCTCCCTTACTATAGTGGCTCTACAACCAAGTCCTAAATTGCATTCGGTTGCTATCACTTGTCTTACATTGCACAGTTGCTCCCTTGTTTTGATATTAGAGTTGACTTTCATTCTTTTGAGATGTTTTGAGTGTGATTCTTCTTCAAGAAGAGTTAACAGAAACTAGTCCTGCACAGGATTTGCCTACATGGAGCCTATAGCCACTATAGTGCTATACCATAAATGGCTCATTATAGTGTGATAGTCCCATGCAGGCTCCCATGGCTTTAGACTTATAGTGCGTATAGTGGACACAACCACAGCAAGATGTTGGTTGAGCATTCCATAAACATGGACCATTCTCGGATCAAAATGATCACCGGGTCATCAAAAGCTATTCCATAAAGAGAAAACAGGCGTTTGCGGATTTTCTTTTTTTTGCTCTTGTATGTTGTCTCGCCATTATATAAAAAGATCGGGTTCTCATTTTATAAAGCAGCAGCCTGAGGGAGTCCATTTTATAAATGATTTTTGTTTATAAAACCAAGTCCCTCACCCCAAAGACCTCCACAAAGGGGATCTAAAATGATCCAAAGTGTGATCGAGAGAGAATGGAGCGGTAGTGGGCAGCTTTCGAGTTCACTCTTGATTTATAACCACCAGACAGATGTCCCTCAAGATCCTTGAGAGGGCTGCTCGTCAAGATCCAACAATTGCAAGTTCCTTGGCCGACTGCAGATGTTTGACATGTGTCAGCTGAGGTGGTTTCCGAAGTCTCTTTTGAGCCCCATGAGCGGCGATGTTCACTTTGATGAGATTCCTTGGCCGTGCCCCAGATGCAACGGATTCCGGGTGCTCCGCCATGCGACACCGGCCGGGGGGGAGCACCCGTCGCGTCACGACACCGGCCCCCCTGAGGTCGACACCAGTGTCACCTGGAGTGATGGACTTGAGCCCTTGGTTGCCATGGTTGGTTCTCCTCTTGATCTTTGCTTCGGGCCTGGCCCAAATGACCTACGCCGACGCAGCGCAAGCACGGCTCGATGCACTCAAGTCACTGCGACAGCCGCTCGTGGACGTTTGAGCATCAAACACCAGATTCAGTCAACCACGTCTTCAATCAGGGCCCGGAGGCCCTTGGAAGAATCAAGAGGTTGGGCGTTGTGATTCCAGGGTATGGTGAGCGGGCGCCTCTTCAGGCATCCGCCAGTTTCGTTTTCCCTTGTACAGCTGGTTTTGGCGATGGAGGCTGCCTCCACGTTTCTCATGGCAGGTTTCGGGGACCATCATTCTGTTTGCCTTCCATGGACACTGACAAAGGGGGCTCACAAGCGCATGTGCGGAGGGAGCAACTTCCCAAAAGCCCAACCAAAAGCCCGACAGAGCAGGGCAGGGAAGTAAGAAGTACACTCCGACTCAGCAACATGGACGTGGACACTGGGCCCCAAAAGAACTATTTTTGCGCGACAAACAGGGGCCCAGGGGGGGTTGTTGGTGAGTGGGAATGCAAGTGAAGAAACACCAACACCAACAACACCTTTGCATGAGTCCTCCCGTTAGCGGCCACACCGGCCAGCGCAGGGTGATGCCTCTGAGGGTGAGCAAGACTCCCTGATTCGCGGCTCAGCTTTTCAAGTGCCTGATGGGCATCAGCCAATCCATCATAACTGAGGATGGATCAATCCTGGTGATTGTAACGAACTTGGCCCCGTACTCGGGTTACGGCCCTTGATGGCCCTTTGTCATGTTCTCTACGACCTTTTTGCTATGTTTGATGAATCTTTGGCTCCTACTAAGCCACTGTGGTAAAGCATTATCCCGGCAAGAGACCCCAAACAGTGTGTGTGAGGTCTGTAAGCAGAAAGTCTAGAGATCTAGACGCATTGGGGTCCAGAGAGGTGATGGTGGTGATGGAGTGAAGGTGGGTGTGAGTGAGTGTGGGTGAGAGGGAGTGTGAGTGAGAGTGGGAGAGTGAGTGAGAGTGAGTGTGGGTGAGAGTGAGAGTGAGTGTGAGTGTGAGTGTGTAAGTGAGCGTGAGTGAGAGTGAAGGTGGGTGCGAGTGAGTCTGGGTGAGAGTGAG